CAGAGGTTGTCCCCGGGGCTGCCTAGCCCTCCCGAGCCAGGGGAGGATGGAGTTTGCTGAACACAGCCCCAGCAGCTCACAGCCCCCTCCGGCTCTCACCCCACGTCCCTGTGCTCCGCCAGCCCCCGGTACGGTGTAGGCTGTGCACCAGCAGCCTTCCACCTCCCTGGCCCGGAAGGCAGGGACTCCTGCCCATAGGTGGGGACAGCAGGCGAGCTTGCCCTGCCTGGGACAACCGCGGTGCATCGCCCGCATGGCAGGCTGGGATCAGTGAGACAGGGTGCCCTGGCCCCAGCCGTGCAGCCCTGGCAAGCCCTTGCACTCTGCCTCCCTCTAGGACCACTTCCTCTTCGACAAGCCAGTGTCCCCACTCCTGACGGCGGCAGGAATGGCCCGGGACTGGCCCGACGCCCGAGGGATCTGGTGAGGATCTGCCCCGCCATCGAGCAGTCAGCAGGGCAGAAAGGCGGGGGAAACTGCTGCTCTGTCCGGCTGCCCCAGCTCCGCCACCCACGTTCCCCATGCTTGTCGAACCTCAGACCCCAGCACATACGGCACCCCTGGCACCCCTGGCTGAGCTCACCACAGACTCTCTGGCCACGCAGAGCTGGGCTCTCCCTGCTCACGCCTGACCTGGGAGCCCCTTGTGTGCTGCAGTCAGCAGCCAGCCACTCCATACACAAGCCACAGCATCCACCTAAGAAGTGGGACTTCAAAGCCATCCCCTGCTGTCGGTCCTGCCCGCTCTCACCATCCTGCAGCACCTTGCACTCTAGGCTGCAAAAAACCTGTAATTGCCTTCTGCTCACCAGGCAATCCCCAGTGCTCCTCCTGGCTCTCTGCACACTCTACCTACCCCCAAACTTATCCTGCCACAACTGCATCTTACTGCTGCCTCCCAGCATCTCTGCACAGCCATGCAACATCCCACACAGCATCCCACGCACCCGCCGAGTGACAGCTGGCACACGCACTCGCCCACACCGCCCTCGCTGGCACAGCACCTTTATACCAGCCTCATGGAAAACACCTCCGCAGCACACATGGTCCCCGGCTGCAGCCACCCCCTAACCCAGCATCCCAATGTGCACCCCATACCTCACAGCCCCCTCCCGCTGCCTGGGTGGTGCAGGAGCCGGCGTCCTGTCCCCAGTCCAAGCAGGGTTGCCACCACTCTGGCACCATGCTGCTCCTCCCCAGCAGCGCTTGCCTGCACCCACGGCACCGGAGCCAGGATCTGTTGCCCGCAGCGATGCATGTGGATGAACGCTGGCCTGTCTCCAGGAGCACCTCATTGCTGCCGGGCTGTGCTCTGGCAATGTGCTCCCAGCCACGGGCACAGGCAGAGCACTGGGACCATGAGGCAGCACTGGCACCATGGTCACAGGGGCAGAAGGGGTATGGCCGGGGCTGGCACGGGTGGCTGGGTGGGCACGGGGGCTCTGCCGGCCGCCAGCACAGCCGAATACTGCCCTGTCCCTAGGCACAACAACGAGAAGACCTTCCTGATCTGGATCAATGAGGAGGACCACACACGCGTCATCTCCATGGAGAAGGGTGGCAACATGAAACGGGTGTTTGAAAGATTTTGCCGTGGTTTAAAAGAGGTACTATCTCAAAGAGTTTATTATTTTCTTTTGTTTATTGCCAGCACTGCCAGGCGGACAGGGGCAAGCAGGGCTGCTGCGGGGCTGGCCCCCTGCGCTTGGCTGGGGCTGGGTGGTGCTGCCGTGCCGAGGCCTGGGCACCCCACAGCCGGCACCCCACAGCCGGGGGCGGAACGGCTGCTTGTGCCTCTAACCCAGGTGGAGCGGCTAATCCAGGAGCGAGGCTGGGAGTTCATGTGGAACGAGCGGCTGGGCTACATCCTGACCTGCCCCTCCAACCTGGGCACTGGGCTGCGAGCAGGCGTCCACATCAAACTGCCGCTGCTCAGCAAGGTATTACTGTGGCCACTTTTGTGGGGAGCCAAGCTAGAGCTGCGGGG